AATATAATATAATATAATATAATAATTAATAATAGTAATTTGTAAGTATAGTATAATATATTATATTTTAATATAAAGTAAAATAATATTTATATTATAATAATATACTAAACCAATTCGATAAGTTAATTTAGAAGTAATTAATAGATAAAATTATATTTTAATAAGATGTTATATTATCAATAAGAAATGTTAGAGGCACACCATGAGGCACACCTTCGGTCACACTCCCCCACCTGCTACAGTGCAGGGGGCCCCACAGGAGATTTTTTTTAAAAATCTCCTGTGGGGCCCCCTGCACTGTAGCAGGTGGGGGAGTGTGACCGGAGTTGTGCCTCATGGTGTGCCTTTAACACCGCTCATTATCAATTATCCCACATGAATTGTCAAATCAAAGACTCAAATTATCTCATTATCCCACTTTTCCCCATTCAAAATATCCCAAAGGGGTAAAATTGTTCTATTGGAACAATTTTTCCATTTGGTCCCAATTTGTCCCAACCAATAACCCCCTAAAAAAAAGCTGTAGCACATGATGTGACATTTTTTGAGGTTGAATCACGTAGGTAAAAAATAAAGGGGCTAAAGATATTGATTTTGGGACATTAACATAATTTTTAATTTTTTTAACAAAAAAAGTTAATAATAAAATCGGTTTTGTTAAATCATTAAAAGCACGCCTCTTGTCTTTTTTCAGCGATGTCGACATCTCAAAGAACGAAATAAGGGAAGAAAATAGTTTATAAATAGAGGGGAGAAGTCTCAAGAGCTCCTACCGGGTTGCTTGTGCTCGCCACCTCCTTTTATTCGTCCGCGATAAAATTCGTGATAGCATTCGGCGACCGGGAAAATGTGCGGCGGTGCGATTATTTCCGACTTCATCGCCTTCAAGGGAGCTAGAAATGTTACTCAGAGTGATCTCTGGTCGTCGGAGTTCGAGAATCTCACCGATTCTTTCGAATCTAATGGATCCAAACCTCAGACTCAACAAGGTGAGCAGCATCTAGGAGATTATCTGCATATTAGTAAGTTTGCACGAAGCAATCATTAAATATTATTATAAGGGATTTATACAAAAATATCGCTCATAAAACTTTCTTTTAAGGGAAAAAAATTACAAACTTCCAAATCACTAGTAAACTATCGAATGCGAAAAGAACTTGAAAATCACAAAATTTTATTTATATTTTTAAACTTTCATGAATTTGAAAAAAAAAATAATTGACTTGAAAATTCATTAATATAAGGATCATGTTCTTTATGCTATTATTAACAATTTTTATATGTTATATATTAGTTTTGGACAAATATGACGTAACTTGAGGTATTATCGTACAGGTAAATATTATACCTACGAATTTTAATTCAATCTAGCATGGTGAACTGTCGATAGGCAAAATGATAAAATTTAGATAATTCATCACCACCATATCTCTTAATCTATTAATATATATATTTTTTTTAATATTACAATATTTTTATGAAATCTCCTCTCTGGTATTTATCATTGCCCCTCTTGCTTTATATTTTAGAACATGGACAAAAGACCAAAAAGCCCCCAGCCACAA